ACAACACGGCAACACGGATACAACACGTTTTTCCACACGTCTGCACGACGTTTCCTACCCCTACGGCCCGTAATGGCCGAGCTGCTCTACACTCCTATCACACACAACTGAGCCACCCGAATAATCGATCACACCCTTCCTTGGGGCTGTTGTCTCAACCAAACCAAATATAAATCAGAAGAACAAACACGACTCAGACCTCTACTTCTCAGATCTCGAGCCTAGAGCAAAATTACGATGAATCCAAAAACATCTCTCGGCAGAGCCTTCGTCAGAATGTCCGCATGCTGTCCTTCGCTAGAGACATGCCTGATTCCCGACAATCCCACTTCTGTTAAATTCCTAAGAAAGTGGTGCATCACGTCAATGTGCTTACTTTTACACGAACTAAGTGGATTTTTAACCAAGTGCAATCGCACCCTCGTTGTCCTCTCGTACCTGAATCTTACCAAATGCTATCACTAGGCCTCAAGAACTCGAGCATTCCGTTGACAAACAAAGCCTCTTTTTCACCGTCACCCATCGCAACATACTCTGCTTCAGTTGTTGAAAGTATAACGCATTTTTGCGTCCTACAAATCCAAGCAACAAGACAGTCAGCTACAAGAATTAGTGGTGCTCCCGAACTGATCTACGGTCAGGGGCCTTGCTAGCGAAGTCTGCGTCTACGTACACCAACGTGCCTACTGCTACCAAAGTGTCCTGCTTGTACTTCAAAGCTAGATGTGTCGTCTCCAGAAGATAATTTAGAATCTTTTGGGCCGCCTTCCAGTGGCTTTTCTTTGGCTCGTGAGAGTGCCTCGCCACTGCCCGCACAGCATTTGAGATGTCGGGCCTCGTCTGGTTGGCGATCCACATCAGGCTCCCCACCACCTCTCGGAACTGCACATCCTCTCCTCCATCACGGACCTGTAATCACTAGCAGGGAAAGCAGGGATCGAGCTGGTGCGACAAATAAACATTGAATCTCTCGAGAACATTCCTCCTAACGTAACTCTCTCGAGACATCTCAATCGTGCCAGCCTCGCGGTCGCGACTAAATGCGCAACCAAGAAAGAACTTGACCTCGCCCAAATTCTTCGTGGGGAGAGAGTCACCTAGCGCTTCCACAACCATCTTGGCAAGCTTCTAATTTCCTGCATACATGACATGAATCGCAATCATACCTAACACCTCGTCTTTCATCATGAAACGAAGAACACAGGGGTCTGAGAGAGACTGTTCAAAACCAATGCTCTTCAGGCCCAACACAAGTCTCTTGTGAAATGTTGTAGATGCCTGCCTCAGTCCAAACAAACTTTTGTCAAAACGGACTTCCTTTCCTGTCATCGACTCACAGCCAGGAGGCAACTTCATGAACACCTCGTGATCCAATTCCGACTGAACAAACGCTTGCTCAATGTCAAAAGTGGAGAAATTCCAAATCATACTTGCACGCCAATGCTACCAATAAGCGAATCGATGCAGCATTATTTGCAGTAGGCAAGAAAGTTTCAAGATAATCCACACCATGCTTCTGCTTGAAGCCCTTCGCTACAAACCTAGCCTTGGCCTTCATTATCTTGCCTGTTTCATCTGCTTTCCATTTGTAGACCCATGTAGCATCTATCACGTTGCAGCCTATTGGAGCCTTTACTGCTAAGGCGAACGTTCCTGTTCTTAACAAGCCTTCAAATTCTGCCGACATGGCCTTGTCCCAAATCGTGGAGTACATTGACTGGCGGGCTTCTTGGTAGCTACCCGGTTCTGACTGTACGTCCTGAATGAGCACTTTCGGCAATTCCACCGCATCAGATGCTCTCTGTTCCATTAAGGGTGCCTCTACTATTTCTGATGCGGAGATGGGTCCCAGAGTGGCCATGAGGCCGGATACGCTTTGCTGATTTACTGCCCGAGTTTGCGCACGGGTTCTGCCTTCTCTGACTTCAACATTCTCATTCACAGCAGTGTTGTAACTAGCAAGCTCATGCCGCGTGCGACGATTGGATGGTACGTGCGTAGCAGGGGGAAATGTCTCCGATTCTACCTCCTGCCCTCCCGCCTCAACCAACTGTTCATCCAACCCTTCCTGACTCTCCGACTCTACCTCCTGCCCTCCCGGACCCGCCGATTCCGCCTCCCCTGTCTCCGGCCCTCCCTGCCCTCCCTCATCGGTGAACTCATCTGCTGGAGAAGAAACAGGAGGAGCTGCGCTGCTAGGGGAGTATATCTCGGGTGAAGATGGCATAGAGGGGGGTTGACCTACACTGCCTGCATCAACACTGCCAACTTCATCGATCGCTCCACCAGAGACCGCTACATTCCGTCGCAAAAGGATGTGGGGAAATCCTCTCCCTAAAAACGGCCATACCTCAGCTTCTACATCGTCGTCACGTCCCTCCCCTCCCTCCTCTGCAACCTCTATCGGCAAGAGAGACGGTTGCGGTGGAGGGAGTTGTGACGGCAACGCTTCCCATGTCACATTCCGCGTTTCCTGAATAGTTCCAACTCTCGTAAGTACTCTATGACAGTCACGCGGATGGTCTCTCAAAGGACTGACATAAAAGCAAGCCTCACCCTTCGGCAGCAGCTTTGACGGACGTTGCCACCTACAGTACGCTGGTTTCCAAAACGGATGCGGTCTAGCAGGACGAGCTTCATCATGCCACATCTCATACAGTGATTTCCTGTCGGGGTTAGCGGAACAAGCTGTCTGTGTGGTTGATTGCTTCGCAAGCCCAGTGCATCGCCTCAGCCCATAGTCTATCCATCAGTCTTAGGTAATTGCACATGCCCAAACAATTTTTTTGCCTGAAGACGGGCAGCCATTGCCGCCGCCTCATTCAATCTCAAACAACGCTCTGCAGCATCATTGTATTGGGGACTGTAAGCCGGGGTGAACTCGTGCTAAAGCATGAGCTCGTTGCACATGGACGCAAATTCTCCTCCGAAAAACTCCCCCCCATTGTCAGATCTCCCCCCCCCCGGTGTTTGCCATCGGGGTTGGGTTTTCGTCGCTTGGCAACGACGTTGTAAAACAAGCCGCCCCCCCCGGTGTTTGCCATCGGGATTGGGTTTTCGTCGCTTGGCAACGACGTCGTAAAACAAGCCAATTCACTTCGTGAACTCGGCAACCAGGTTACCGTTTTTTTTTTTTACCTCCGTTTTTTTTTTTGGCAGTAACCACAATGGTGGTCGAGTAGATCATGTTGTGCGGGGTGGAGAACCCTCACTCCGCGCAAGGGGGATGATCGCACCACGTTGTGTTAAAATGGTCAAGCACCCTCGAGGCAGTTACACAGTGCTTACAACTGTCTCTGGAAGTGAAAGCACCATAAAATAGATTAAGTCATATGCAGCTGTCATCCGTACGCATGGAAGTAAGCACAAGATGCCGAAAACCCTTAGCAGGATGCAGCGCACCCTTCATGCGACTCGCCGAATA